ATATTTCCACAGACTTTGCTAACCTTCACAGACAAAACCACGGTGCCTAACCGGTGTGTTATAGAATGTCTAGTGTCTAATTAAAACAACAGAATTTCATTTTCAAACTACTAAAATGTGTATTCATGAAACACACTTTTTCCAAAGTTACAACATGCCAACTTTTCTGGAAATGGGATTTGTTGTTTTAAAGCCATGTTTGAAAACTTTGTTTACCATCTTGTGTTTTAATGTGTGTCTCTGTGGAAAATGCCTTCATTCTTTTTTCTTTACTTTTCCCTATTTATTTTACCCTTGAAGTCTGAGATCATGTCATCTACTCAGATCCGAATGGGAATTTTTGTTGCAATTAAACCAGTTTGTAAAAAGTTGTTTACTTGGTTGATTCCATTGTAACTGATGTAGTGGAAATAGGTTGATTTTGAGAAGAAGAAAAAATAATAATGGAAAATCTGTGGTAACTTTCAAAGCAGCAAGCTTTGCTGAGTGTGATGATTGTTTACTTGAAAGATGAAGTATGCAGCAGTGGCCGCGGCCTCTTTTTTTTTCGTATTCCCACAGATAATGACAGGCAAAGGCAAACAGGTTTTCCAACAGGTAGGTCAGAGCATAGAACACTATGCTTTGATTAATGCTTTAATTAATGCTTTAATTAGTGACATCACAAAACCGCACACATGTGCAGGTAACACAAATAACTTGCTCAAGAAGAGGCTGTTGACAGCAGTGGGTGCAGTTACTCAGGTGGAGCACTTCAAAGTGACTTCTAATCCAAAGACTTTAAAAACAATGATTCAACAAGACAGAGAAGAGAATAAAACGAGCCTCTGTGTCTGGAGTCGACTCATGACTGACTGTCCTACAAAGACATGAAAGAAGGAGTGAATAACCAAGAAGCTACAGGCAGCGTTTACCTCTCAGAGGCTCAAGATATTTTTTCTCAAAGGAAAATGGTGAGAACACAAAAAATGAGTCACGTCATGGCCTGAAACGACTCTGTTCTTTCCATTGTAATGGATGAAGAAGTAGAAATAAACAACATCTGAGATGTTGAGGCGCTGGAGTTCCTCCTGAACCGTGTTCCACTCGCACAAGGACACAGTGTTAGAACAGAGGCCCGGTTCACAACGCTGCAAGTAGTAAAACGCATGTGGCGTGATGAAATATTTTGGAACAATACATCGAGAATCACTTTGCATCTGTTTATGGTGTTTACAGTGTTTCACTTTTAGAAGCCAAGAACAGCTGAGACGAAATATAAAGATGACAGACAGCTCCACAAAGATGCCATGACGTACTTCACTCCGCACTTTTAGGTTCGATCCCATCTGCACAACATTACATTTGGGAAGAATGGTGATTTTGTGTTCTTCTGGTTTTAAGGCTGTGGGACTGAGATATGTCGTCATGTTGAAATTACTTTGTTGGACTTTATTTGATTATTTACAAATTCTTTTTTTTTTTACACTGAAAGTGTAAAGAACCGCCTTTCAGAAACTCAGTACAGCCAAAGGCAATAAAAATGAAAAACATTTAACAGTTTGCCAACGTTGTTATTCGACAGGAAAGATAAAGACTTGAAAAATTACAGCACAGATAAACACTGAAGCATTCTGGAAGGTTCACTGATAGAAAAGTAAATGTCTGACATCAAAATTGAGGGGGGTGTGGGCATCAATCAGAAAGGTATGTCAGGTATGACACCACACGCATGACATCACACGCTATGCATCTCATCTAGTGTAGCTATCACAGAGTGGGGATATGTTTGTTTAGAGTTCAAGGAATTGCCCTCAGGCTGATAATCTTTAAGGCTAACAGCCCTGAGCCTGAGGATAGGACTGTTGAAGTCTTTCAGCTGATACTCCTGACAACACCTTCTGTAAACTGACAGAACCGTAAATGATGTGGTGAACGCTATTATGACAAGCAATAAAACTCAGGAATCGGTGGTTTCTCTCATGTGACAAATTATAGCTTTTACCTTATCTGAGCACATGCTCACAATTTGTGTCATTGTCTGTCGCTGTAACAGATATAATTTACTGCGTCGGAGATGTCGGCCTTGTTACAGCCACTGCTCTGATGAGTATACTGTGCTGAACAAAAAGACTGGTGTCTCAGAAAATACAAAATAAATCAGTACAAGGAGGGAAATAATCACTTCAGTCACTTGATTTACAACTCTGCTGCTACAGGCTACATTTTTTAAGTACTGAATGTGAAAAATACTGACACACAAACATTCGTACATTGATGGCCATCACAAACCAGTAACTTTGTCCTATTGCAGTGAGCCAGTCATCAAACAAAGAAGCCTAAATCAAATACTGTATTTATCCCATATGTAATCAACCTCCCATGCTTCATCTGGTAGTGCAGTATTTTACATGAAACTGACGAATGTGGCTCAACATGAGAGCGAACAATCCTGGAGGCCTGTACGTGACTTTTTTACCTCTAAGCTCCGGATGGTTCATTAGATGTGTGTGGATAACAAGAGGTTTAATTGTAAACGCCTACTGAAAAGTTACTTGGAACTTTGGAACATTTATGAATTTAAATGTGCGTCACTGATTAGAAAATAATAGCAAATTGATGGTGACTCAGCCTTCGTCATGATCAAGACAAATGATATCAGACAGTTCCTATCCACCTGTAATCATGATTTACTTCAAATAATTTTAATTACCAAGTACTTTGCTAATGTACCAGGTGTGCATTTACTTCATTCCTCATTTTTGTTGTACTCAAATATTAAAAAAAAAAAACCCCAGTGACACTGTTGCAGGAAAAAGTCAAAAGTCGTGACTCTCAAAGAACAACATCTCACTTTGGAGAGTTTCCATCTTCCTTTTGTTTTTATGGCTGATCACATGTCACTCCACCTTGAAGATATTTCACAGATGAAGTGGGAAAGTACAGCGTCCATGCCAACAGGACGTGACCTACTCACCTCACTGAAAACACACAAGTTGTTATAATGAATCTGCTGCAATCTATTTAGACACAATTAGTAATTACAAAGGAATGTTCCACTGAAGCAGCTTTAATTGATAGGGTGTTTAAATGTATACGTAGAATGAATGTATTCAAAGAATCTGTGTTTTATTAATTGTTTTTTTATTTCATTTTGACTAAAACATTTCGTGGTGAGGTTAATCTGTACAGTATGTGTAAATATTTGTGCCTAAGTCAGCATCAACTGGAGCACCCCAGCCTCTGGTTCAGTTCTGTTGTACAGTTTGACTGACATTTATATAACACTGAACAAACTGAAAAAACGGAAATACAAACTAGTAAAATTAAAGTAAAAGAGAAGTAACGCTGGGTAGCGAAACAAATGTACTTAGATCAGTATAATCACTTTGTGAATACCATGAGGTCTGTTACAGGCTGAATGGCATCAGTCGTCACTTGTCCAATCAGATCTTTTTCCTTTGATTAACTTTGGTTACTCAAATGTCACTGTGTTTATTGGGAAGACCAGGAACTTTTACAAGCATACCAGACTGCATATATCACTCATTACTTTACTTCGCAAATCACCAGGCATCAAAACCATGGAGGTCCACTTCACATCCAGAACGGTACAGAGTAAACAAGGTGAGTCAATTTTTCAGTTTTAACCTAAATTTTTCCATCTGAGAACGTTTCCCAGCTGACTGGAAATAAACAATCCCATAAAGTCAGGAGAATTTTTTTTTTTTTGTCATTACATGAAGGGGTGTTTTGTCTCTTTGTAAGTGAACAGAACAAGATACATTTTTGTCTTTTGTCTAACAGGACTGGGTTTGTAGTTCTCAAAGTCATGATGTGAATTTCACACCTGGCCTCTCGTCTGGTACATTATCTGAATGCCCGAATGAATGGAATTTCATAGACAGCAGACGTACAGTATGAGATACCAGGGGTATGTTTACTTTTCATGTCTGATAATGCTCTCCACTGATGTCACCAGATTGATAAAAAGAAATGTGAGAGCAGATGTATATTTCCAGTACAAAACCAAGGTTTGTCCATGTAAGAATTGCATGGTGGGTAAAATACAGCACTATACTCAGCATTATTTAAATTCCTTAAAAAAAAAATCTGGAACAATAGAGCCAGGTGATGCATCTGCTGATCATCATGCAACAACTAAGTTAATAACACATGTGGCTGATTTGCACAAACAAAAGCCTGTTTTATTGACTCAGAGAAATAAATACAGCAATTAAGAAGAGTTGAAGATGACTCAGCTAAACTATGTGGCCGTGAGGGTTGACTCTGCACAAAAAAACCTCTGGTCACCAATAACCACATCAAACCTGTTGAAGTCAGCCTAAAAGGGCTCTGGATGGTGTGCAGTTTGCCCTCTGTGTGTGGGTATGTGGGCATGTGGTTTCTGTGACCTCTGTTACAGTCATTTCTGTCTCCTTGAGTGGAGACATCTGAGGCATTTGGTGTCTCCAGTGGTATCATTTTATCTTGGCATTTATAAAATGTCAGAGAAAATATTCCAGCGGCGGAGCCAGCTCACTCCCTTTAGACAATTAGTCTTTCCCGATACATTCTGACATTTTACACAATCACCCGCTCAGAAGAAACGGCTCAAAAGTGACGACCTCAGTTTTATGTGCTCTTAACATCCCATGTAATACTGTAGTCCGTCGACCAACTAACTAACTCTTTCCTCTCAGAAAACTGGTTTCACAACGGCATAAAATGTCTTCAGGATCAATTAAATGACTTTCCCAGGCTTATTTCTAATCACTAATCCAGGAAACTGTTGTGAAGCAACTGTTACAGCCTTAAGGACAGGAAGGAACCTTCCAGTTTATACAAAAAATGCTTTATTTTCTTTTTATTACTTCAGTAAGTTCAGTCAATTCACAACATATTTTAATTTAAATCAACTTGTTTTCAAGCACGACAGAGGGCACTAATAAAAATCTAGGTTCTAATGACTCATTCATTATTAAAAAAAAAGACAGCAACAAAGAAAAACAGGTCGACTTAGAGTGTCATACAGAAGCTTTTATATGTATCAATACTTGTTAAACAAATATATGATTAGGTAAACGTAACAGGTTTTACTGAGAAGTACACCAACAACCTAGGTGCAATAAAAAAACAACTATTGAGCAACTTGCAATTGTGATGACAGTGGGTGTAGACATGTGTGGGTCCAAGCCCAGTTGTTTTTAAAATGTAAGCGAAGTGGTCCAGTGATTCCTCTTTGACTTATTCCTGCCCCAAGACTGGTTACGTATTGTCAGACGTCATGTAGGGATTGAACTTGTTTGGTACTGTAGTTCTGAATTCTGAATTGTAATCCTAACAGACATTTTACCGTCTTGCTTTTCTTCCAGCCCACGCCTCTGGCTGCTGCGCCTTTGGATAAAGACGATGATCAGAATAAACAAACACAACATTACAATAGGCACCATGGGGTGGCAGAGTGGTTAGTCCTCTTGCCTTACAGCAAGAAGACCAGCAGTTCACATGCACATGTTTGGGTTTTCCATGGGTACTGGACTCTTGTCTCTCCCACAGGATTGTGTAAACTAGAGCCTGAAGGCGTGATGACATTTCAGATGTCTAGGAACGAGGATTGAAGTTATT